TTCTGATTTCATATAACTAATAAATCAACACTATATAGCTCTAAGTAAAGGAATAATATATTTAAACACATCTAATTAAATAACAGAAATCCTACTTTTCGGTACTGCTTTTGAAGCAGATTTCAGTGCTTAAATATTTCTGTATAAATATATATACATATCTTATTCTGCAAGCAGCGCGCCGAAATATTTCAACACATTTGAATAATTGACGAGATTCTCGCGAACTCAACATACCGAAGACAATTCAGTCTCTCCTCAACGCTACTTCTTCTGATCAATTTTAACATTTGGAATTGCTTAGATTTCTCGGATTTTCTTTTATCTGCGATAAGTGATTTTTGATCAATTTCAACGTTGAAAAATTGCAAATTAATCAATGTATATCTGTGGATAACAAGAATCATATAATAATTCATTCTAAGGTATATTCGACATAATTAATAAATCGAGCGTATAAGAATTTTAAATAAAGAATTAATATATTTAAACACGTTTGAAATATTGACAAGATTCTCGTGAATTCAATATCAAAGGTAATTCAATCCTTTCTCAGCGCTCATTCTTCCAATCAATTTTAACATTTAAAATTGCTCAGATTTCTCGGATTTTCTTTCACAACTCTTTGATCAATTTTAATTTAGGAAAATTCGGAATTAATCAATATATATTCACAGGTGACAAGAATAATAATATAATAATAATTCTGAAGTATATTTCACTTAATTAATGAATCAACAACATTATACACTATTAAATCTATAGCGTCAAATTTAACCTAATTTAAGTCGCTACTGCTCCTACTCAATATATCGTTATTTTATAACTAAAACAATTAATGGAACATGTAGTGTTAAATTTGTCCATTAATTGTTTTAGTATAAACTAACGATATATTGAGTATAGAAGCAGTGGCGATTTAAATTAGATTAAATTCACAATATATATTTAACAGTGTACAGTTCTAAATAAAGAATTAATATATTTAAACACATATGAAACATTGACAAGGTTCTCGCGAGCTCAATATGCCAAAAGTAATTTAGTCCTTTCTCGAGAAGTTAATAACGAATTACTCCGTAAAATCCCTCTCAATTGCAGATTTAATTTAATCTCCTTACGTTCCCTCGAAAGTCCAGGTGGGCGCGAGTGTTTTTGCACCCTTCCTCGCGGCGCTCACGAGCACGCTTCACGATCAATCTTGTTTCGAGGCGGTGGAATGGCCTCTTTATCGTGTCGGCACGGGGGAAAAATTGGAATCACGAGAAACGCCATGCCACGCCATGCCAGACCAGGCCACGCCAGGCCGAAGCAGCGCAGCGGAATAAGACGAGGGAGATGCGACGATGCGATACGCGCCTCGATCCGACTGCTATTATTTGTTCCAGCCGCGTCGAGCGGAGCGAAGCCACGCCACGCCGACGAGGAGAGTCGATCATTCTCAATTAACGCTCCCCCTTCGCGACCGCCGTTAAATTATACCCGTCTCGTACCTTCTGTCTGCCTTCCGCGTGGGCGTCGCGTGTTTATTAATCTCCACGCGTTGCACTGCGCGTTAATTGTCCGTAAATGAGACAGAGAGACGCGTCCGTTGGCACTCGATGAGCTCAATGGCTACTGCGATTCGGCATAAATTCATAATTGATGGGCTTATTTCCGCAACGAGGCGTATCCTTTATGTTCATAAATCAAAACTATGTTTAGACGGCGTCGGAACGTTTGAATCACGTTTTCATTTCGTACGTAGCTTTTACAAATTTATTCTTAGACCTTTATGCCTTTACATCAAAGGCGATGGTTATTATTAAAAAGCGATAATATTGTTAAAATATTAAACGGTTATCATATCTTTGACTTATTGGCAATGAATATATAGAAATATAAGTTCTATATAGATTCAAAATAATTTTGTTTAATGTAATTTCTTTCTTTCAATTAATTTATTATTTTATGTGTCTGGTTTTTATTTTATTAATATACTATTTCTGCACAATTAATATATTTACTTAATTCAATAAACAGTTAGGTATCCAATTTCTTTAGTTAGGAAACAATTTAATAAGTCGACTCTTTCTCTCATAACTTTCCTGCTTTCTATTCATGATACTTTGCACCAATTTACGGAATGGATGGTAAATCATAATAACGGTAGCTGGTTCATATTCTCATATTCTAGCATCTCTGGACTTCGCTACTGTACCGTAATGCAATGAGGATGCATTAAAGGCAGCGGCGCATATTCAAATCACGTCGCGGTCGATAAATATGTAGTGAGCTCGTACGATCCGACAGTAAAATGCATTACTCCATGTAGTTGATTCGCATTGCGAGATAAAGGTGATAAAGCGAATACTAAGTATAAATTATACAAGAAGAATCGCAGATAGCGCGCATTCGTCAAGTTGATAATCGCCTCTTCGTTACGTAATGCTCTTTTCTGATCATGACTTGCCAAAGACGAATTATTGTTTAGAACGATTTTTAAATATCCAAAATTTCTAATTTTGTAGCATAAAAATTTTTCAAATAATTATATTAGAATTATAGAGAATTTTATTATATCGTATTTATTTATTTATAATATAAAATATGTTATAATATAAAATCATGTTTCACAATTTTTAACCGTTATAAAAACTTTAAAATTAAATTTACAAAACCACATCATGTACGAAAAATTACTCTAATCTTTAATATATCACTTTTCAATGGCGATTAAAAACGTTACGTGTTTGGGCCGAAATACTCTACTTTTTCCTGCAGTTTCAAATTTTATTCATTTACATGGACTTTTCTCTTTTCAGAACTAACAGAGAGAAAAAATAAGTACGGTGTCGCGTTACGTTAACGAGAATGTTCATAAATTCAACTACCAGGTTTTTCATTTTTTTTTTAAATATTTTTTACGCAAAGGGAATTCATGGATTTATAGGTCGCGCACCGGATACTTGATATCGATGTTATAGTTAACCGCACGTTCGCATTTTATCGCGCATGTGTCGCGGTTTATTATCGATAAAGAATAAAAGAGGAAAAACCCCCGATTTGTACTACGGCAATTATAATTTTTCCGGGCGCGTATTTCGGTCGATGCGCAAACTACTGCCTGTTCGACGATGCGATAAAATCGATGAAGACCTTCGACTCGCGTCGATATAAATCACGGGAGCGACTCCAGATGTTGCTTGCACCTTAATGGCCCTCGACTCGCTTGTAATAACCTTGCTCGGATATAACTGGAAATAAATTGTTCGGAAGCGATCGTTCTCCTTCAAAGATCGATGCCGTTCGTCGAATGCAACAGACGTTGTGCTTTAATTTCGAAGACAGGTACAAAATAACGTAAGAAATATGCAGATCGATAATTTTTTTCGTTTTTTGCGAGATACTTTAAAGAACGTGTACATATCAATTACCCAAGGTGTCCGACCGACGGCTAAAACCTTTTAAATGTTGTTCGAAATCACGACCTGGATAACATTTGTCAAGATCAAGGTCATTGGAGATTGTTATTGTTATTGCTTGGGTAATGTTATTGCTGGTGAAACTATAACATTCAAGACTTATAACTCGAAAAGTACTTCATGAAAAAATATTTTATTATAGCGTTTTGGAAAGCTCTCGAGATGTGCTACAAGAATATGCAATAAAAAATTGGAGGTTCCATTTAAAAAATTCATGTTGACCCTGATCTGATCTTAGTAGTGCCCCCTATCCAAAATCCGTTATGTCCACCTTCTTTCCCCCAAGAAAACCTACAACTTTCATATAAAACTTTTTCTTGTATCTCTCTTAGTTTCTGAGATATTCGCCTGGGGCGATTAAAATGTCCCACTCTATATGTATACTCCAAAAATATTCACATGTCCTCGTTGTACTTTAATTAAATGGCAAAACTTTAAAGTACGCGACAATTGCGTTTCTCAACGAACTCGAGTAAGACGTTGAAAGTCAAGCTAAAATATAGGACAATCCATGTATATACAGGACATCTGGCAACTCTATCTCGTAGAGCCTTCCCTGTGCGCTGCGCCCGACGAAGGTTTCCTACCGCGTAGAAGCCATTAAAGATCTTACCGTGCAACGTAGTTGGAAGAATGAAAATTGCCGTGGCATAGAAAAGAAGGAAAGAAGCTCCCGGCCATTGAGAGAACTTTTAACGCGTTGATTTCTTCCGCGAATCGCGACGAGGTCCTGTTAAATCGCTCCATTGTCTAGCAAGTTAATAGCGGAACCGTCAACACGAATAACATCGAAGCATCGGTTACATAAATTATTTCTTGCAAAGAATTGTTTGGCAAGAAATTTCATCTTCATGATACATGCGAGCTCAAAAATAGATTCTTATAAAAATGCTGGTTAAATGAAAGCAGAGAGAGAAAATCTTTATATTTTTTTATCATTTCTCTAATTTCTTAATTTCTTAACAGATAAGAAAGTAATAGATAAGCACTCTTTTAGTAATTCATAATTCTTTCTTAAAGATTATTTATTAATTACGATTTCTCATAAAAATCAATAAAAAATTAATTGTAGAATTTTCATAAAAATCAAGCATTTCAATTAGTAGAAAACCAATTGCAAATAATTCAGAAGTTATTTATTTTATATTACAGTTAATCGAGAAGTGCAAGTAATATTCTATTGGAGAGAGAGAGAGAGAGATATCAGTTACTTTGTACAATTTTTGGAGTGGAATCTGACTCTAAAGAGTGAAATCTCACTCTTTTTTTAAAAATTGACAAGTGAGCCATTTTTTTCAACATTCCAAATCATATGTCATTTTTTAGAATCAGATTCTATTCCAAAGTTTTTAAAGAGTAAATAATTCAGTGTCCATGTAAAGAATAATACCTTCGAAATTATTTATTTTGGAAACATATTCCATGGGATGGAAAAATTTACGTAAATATCTCCCTCGCGATATTTAAAGAAATTTAATAGGACTAATTTGAGATTGCATAAATTTTAGATATGCAACCGCGAAAATATTTGCTTACCTTAAACTCGCGACTTAATTTCCTTGCCTTTGGTTGAGGAAATGACGGTGCGCTATCCTTTGACATTCTGAATCTGATCTTTAAATGAAGAAGCTTCATCCTTTTCGCTCCGGAGATTGTTTCATCTTCGCCAATATCTCATCTGTGAACACAAAATTCGAAATTCATATTAAGACAGTTAATATATCTTCTTTACAAATTTTTTCCTTTCCATTATGAAAACAAAACATTTCAAATTATACTTCTCCACTCTTTCTAATTTCTTTTCTTTAATTTAAAGCAGTATTTAGTTTTTCAATTAATCTTTAATTTTGAACTTTATTTAAAATCTAAAACACGAAATTAATAATAGATGTTTCGAGGCCGACAATTAAAGTTGGCGACACAATCCTGGATTTTGAAGTTTGGACTGAAAGCTCTATATATCAACAAGCGATGGAAACAACTTTGTAACTGCTCGTCGGCTGTCCACAAGCTGTTTGCGAACTTTAGCACGAATAAATTGGGAATACAGGTCGCGACCAGTTTGCGCCTCACGTATTGCATGCAAAGTGTTCACAAACTTCAGTTGTAGCCATATTTGGAAGACAGCATGATCAGGCAGTGGTACGAGAACGTTCACATAAACTTGTTACCATGGCTTGCTACCTGGCGTATGAATTTATTCGCGAGACATGCGAGCGCGCATGTCATATGATTAATAATTCTGTGTCTTTATTCTATCTGTGGTAACTCGAGTCGCAGATCAAATTTAACGATCGTCTCACATAATGTGTAATTAGCTACGAAGCTACGTCAAAATAATTTTCCAACTTGTAAATTTAGAATATAAAGATAATTCAAACTAGCACTTGTAGAAGTCAAACATGATGAGAATAGTAACAAAGTATTTAAAATACTTATTATATTTTGTAACTTATTATATTTTAACTTTATTGAATATATAAAGAAAATATATCGCCGAATAGAAATGCACTATATTTAATTATATAAAAATGCAGCGGCTCATTTCCCGCATGATGTGAATCCTAAACTTGACTATATCAGTGTGTACATGGTGTTGTGAATCGTCCTTCCTACTGGCATTTTCACGGCAACTTACAACGTCATGAACGTCGAGCGAGCTTTAATTACGACGATGGAATCCAAGCGAAATAGAATCGCCATTTGTGAGGTTGTAGCTTCTCGGAAATCGGCCACTATTTGCCGCCAAATTACTTTCGTACGTGATACCTGAATATATACGCGATACTGGTACTCACACACATATTTGTCTTACCGCACACCGACGCGACCTGGTAGCATAGGATGTAAAAATTGTACGACAAGCAGAGATGCCGTTCCGAGCGCAAAACACAAAGCTGCATCCGGCAATGGAAACTCGTCGAAGAATACTTCTCCGTCTTTTTACAGCGGTATTTATGAGCGTACCAGAATACTGGTGAAACGTCTCTAAAATGACTTCTTTTATTCGTAAGCTAAATATTCTTCAAGCTTAACGAGATTTTTCCAGTAAATAGAAATTTAAGCTTCGACATAAATCGTTCGCTCGTATATTCCTCGAGTATCTTGCAATATTTCATCACGAAAAGACAAATGTGATACGCGTGTGTTGCGTACTGTGTTTTGAAAACTAAACATGTAATTTTTTTCAACGAGAGAAAACAAAGGATATTTTAATCTCGCATTGCAGACGTACTTTCATTAACGCTAATTCGTTCAGATTTATACTTTTTATTGTATCAAAAAGAATAAGTTTTAATTAAATTATATTATAAAACCAAAAGCCAGACATCAATAAAGAAATATCACGTATATCATTTTTGTTTATTACTAAATCGAATTTAAATCTACCAAAATTATTATCTAAAATTTCAATACCATTCTACTGTTAGAAAAATGTTTACTTTTTTGTTTTAAGTAACAGTTATTTTTAACAAAGAATATTTTCTTGATAATAATCTTAAAATATATTTATTATAAATTTGAGAAAAACTCATATCTACTCATCACATTATCATGTATACTTAAAACAAGAATTTATTTTCTTTTGAACAATATTATTACATATTATTAAATTTTATCGAAGAAACGACTTTACATAATAAAACTGAATTTGATTTAATTTAATAATCTTAATTGAAGTATTAAACTTATTTAAATTCAGAATATATTTTAAATTAAATTGTCATAAACTTATGATAGATTTGTGGATATATGAACTATTGAAAACAAATAATTAATATGTAAATATATGTATTTTCCTGTATGTATAGAGACTCACTGGTATCGATTAGGAATAAGGCATTAGCTCTAATAGTGAGCTCTGCTTCAGAAATTCAATCTATTCTCTCACGTGCACAGTCACTTTGCTCTCGCTGCGCGAGAACGATTGATTTTTGTTGCAACGAGCCTCCGAGTAATTACATACCGTTGACGTTTAATGGGAGCGACATTATTGGATTCTCGTTACTACGACATTTATTTCCCGGCCACGTGTTATAACAACGCCCTTTTTTCATGCGGGTTTGTCGCTGAAGCTCAATACTGGGAAACGAATACCTTTGTGGACGTGTAAATCGCGACACTTCGAACTTGATTAGCTATTTGCGGGTCCATGCAGTTGTTTCATTTTTTTAAACTGAATTTGCAAGCGCACAATTTTTGCACTTTAAATTCTTTACTTATTATTAGAATTAATAATAACAATATTTATTTTGAAATGCAAAATAACAAGGAAAGCATGCATCAATGTACAGTAAAAAATAAAGAAGGTAAAAAGATGCACTTCAACAGATGAAGTAGCAGCATAATGCCTTGTCTAACAATAAGAAGCCTTGAAGCTTAAATTTATGTTGTAATAAAAATAATATAGCATATATATACACATAAATAAGAAAATAATAAATTATTGAATTATTCAACGTCTTGTTAAAATAGAAAGATTTAGAATAAAATATATGCGACAGATATTTTAAATATGTTAATATACGCGATACTTTAATAGATAAACATAACTGGATTTGCAAGAGTAAAAGATTAAAATTCTCGCAGAACTAGCAAGAAAGTACGTAAATCGCGATTTTCTGCAAAGTGCCATAAATCGTCACCTGACAGCCTTGGATAATTAATCGATTTCCTCGACGAACTTAATTGAACTGAATGACGTCCTTCGACTTAACCAACGTTCAACGAGATTTTTCCGCGTGATTCAATCCACTCGATACATCCGAGCATTCAAGAAGACGACGACTACGATATCAACGATATTCGTTCGACTTCTAGAGAGCCGGCTAGGTCGAGCAAAGGCCGCGCTCTTAATTTATGCGCAATCACTCGGCCGATCGATTTATTTGTTTTATAAGCCGCCTGTAATTGGCTACTGACAGCAGCTGTCCCGAGACCGGCTACAATATTCACGATACATTATTCATGCCACGACGATTCCCCCTTGCGCGCGCACAGCAATCCCCAAACTCGCCTAACTTGTGCTTGTCTCTCGTCTCGTCTCGTCTCTGCGATTCACGTGATACAAAACGACCGCTCTCCGCGATACGCTCACCTCCTCGCACGCACCTCGAATGAACTACCATCTCCTCTTCCTCCTCTCCCTTTCACACTGTTTTATCGTTTCGACACAAGTTCACCTTTGCAGTATCAATTGGACTATTTTCCATGAGTTCGATAGTTGGCACATGGAGAAAAGTATTGCCGGGAATTTCCCCGGTGACCGGATTTCCGAAGCTCGATCCGACGCACACATTCTCGCCTAATATTTTATTTTTCCTCTGAGGGAAAGGAAATATATGTAGCTTCGTCGAGTGCGTCGGTCTAACTTATACAAACAGCTCTCCAAATTTTCAGATGTTTTGTAAATATTTTTCTGTTCAATCTATGTCACTTTTGTGTCAAAATTTGAAAAAAGCTAAGATTAAATCAACACTATGTTCGACAACGCAACGCGTCAAAATGAGATTTCTGAGTCATAAAATTCCTTTAGAAATTTATTCTTTTTTTAGTAAAAGAAATTTATCAAATTATAAAAGACTGAAAATAGCAAAAATCTTCAAGCGAATTTCTTCCAACAATATCATCCTTAATTGAACATTCCGAGCGAACTCTCTCGTAAGCCGCATTTGGCAACTCAAATGCATCTCGGAGATTGGAATAAAAGATCGGGGTTATAAATCGAGGACGAGATGTGTGACGGCGGACAAACGTCGGTTCCCGTGAAATTGATCGCTGTGGTGGACCTGATACACGGACACAATATGTCGAGGGTAATAATCGTCCGGTCGTGACAATCGATGGCAGCTTCATCGGTAGCGAACGATGGATCTTCGCAATCGGATGGAGAAGAGAGGTAGAGAGGTCTTCGGAGGGCGTTCGAAAGCTCGTTTACAACAGTCAACGACGACGAATAGCCGACAAATAGCCGTGAAGTCTTTTGATGCCAGCATCAACAGTTCTGACACACAAAATCAAAACTTAAATAAAAATAAAATACTGATAATTAACATTCAAAATCGATATGTAGGTATACAAAAAATTGAGTAAAAAGTTATTATATGCGACAAAAACATTATATTTCATAATCAAATTGTTCTTAAATATAACTTTTATCTCTTATGTAACATAAAATTAAAATATTAATAAATACCAATAATTAAAAATAAATGTTATTAATTAACAATTCCATTTACGCTTCTCTCTTGTCATTCTGATCGATATTTAATATCAATAAAAATAAAGCAGCAAACTCAAGCGGTAAACTATGAATGCCCGACTTTTAAGTAGGTATATCATTGAATCACATTTTCAACCTTCAGAATCGAGGCTGGAACCGCTTACGTGATCGTCCACGCGACAGCATTTAATCTCGTTTGACGGACGATTTGTCGCATTTGTGCCAAGTGTGGTGAAAAGAACGGTTAAAAAGGCACCGGTGCTGATCGATGTGACCACATTCTCGCTCTAAATGTATGCTTAGATGACGCGATTTTTTACGGTAATCTACATGCGCGTGATACGTGACTTTTTCTCTATAATGTCACCGAGAGATTTTCCCTTCCTTACTTTAAAGCGATTTTTAAATTGGATTGAAATAATGAAAAAATATGTTGGAGAAAAATATGTCATATG